GGGGGGGGGGGGGACCATTTTTTGTTTTTCGATTTCTGTCTGGTCGGGGAAGAAGACGGGCCCATTTTTTTTATATAGGTATAGCGCATATACTTGCATATGCGTTATACCGCCCGTCAATTTAAAGTTCAAATTTAACGAATATATTGACCGCGTTATATCTTAACGGACAAACGTGTTGTTAAGATATAGTGCGATGAATAATCGCGTTATATATAAAATAATACTCAGATATATTTTCACCTATTTTTGTGCTTTGAATCCGAAAAAACAATATTTTGGTTCCGATTTTGGAATAAGAAGAAAATGATGATGTTCAAAAAGAAGAAAAAGAGAAATGGAATTTCTGATCAAGCTTTGGATCTATCAATCAACTTTCTGAAATGTATGTGTACTTCACCAAGTTACCAACAATTGCACTTGAGTTTTCCTCGCAGTTATTGTTGCAGTATCGACATTTTCCTTCCCAAGAAAAATTGTACTCCGTATATTTTTACTTGACATATATATTAAAAATAATTTTTTATTTTTATTTGTCACTTTATGCATATCAAGAGAATGACAAATTTATTTTTCTATTATACCCACAGTATTTATTACTCATTTCAAATCATTTTCTCAAATTCAACAAAATATGCATCAATTAATATAGGTATTATGATAAATTATGCACTTCATCTATTATTTTTTAAGGGACGTGAAAAGTCAAAACGTGTCAAGTAAAAGTGAACGGAGGGAGTAGTACTCTAAAAGGCATAAATTAATTTGAGGTCAAGACAACAATATTTCCGTAAAATATGAATTAAACATATTTAGTTCTTCCTTTCCCTAGGTACACTTCACAGCCCTCTATAATTAAACATATTTAGTTCTTTTGTGTCTGATTTTACAAAATATTAAAAAAAAAAAAAAAAGAAGAATATTTCCGCACTTAAAAAAATGGAAACGTGTATTCATTGTCGTGACTGGAAGATGGTAAATGCAATTCAGGAAACATCTATGAATCGGAATTAAGACGCACCATATTTTCTGTCTACATCTTTCGACAAAGACATATGTTTTAAAAATAAAAAATAAAAACAGTTCGGTGCACAAAATATACTGTATTTATACAGGGTTCGAAGAATAGCCGCACCCTAAGGCAGTGTGATGTAGACAACACATCCAAATGCAAACATTATAAGTGACTGGTTCCACGGCTCGAACTCGTGACCAATAGATCACACAGAGACAACTTTAGCATTGCTCCAAAATTCCCCTTCTCAAAGACATGTAATTAACCTTATTAATTAGGAGTATAAGAGTATTTGTCAAAAAATGTTCTTTTATTTGTATACACTAAATGAATTGAAGGTAAATTTAATAATAAATGAATTTCAGTTTGACAAAATGATAAATATTTAGAACCGAAGTCCGAAAGGAGTATCCTGCTTATAATGGCATGACACATTTAAAGCTTAAAGTGTTAGCCAATCTGTATTACTATATTAATGAATAATGAAACAGTAAACTTTTTGAAATAGAAATAAGAAACAGAAAGTTAGCAGCAACAGAATGTCGAAATAATATCTGAAAATAATTTCGAAATAAATCGAGCCCACTAAATGCATAGTGTGCCCTTAAAAAATTATTCTCCTCAAGTATCCGAGATGCTTGAATATTATCCTCTCAGGATAGAATGATTTAACTCACCGGTGTATTGGTACCAAAAACTCTTATGAAATGCGAACCACTCAATGGTTGTAAAACACATTGAAAAATTTTGTGCAGAAGAAGAAGATCAGAATTTTTTTGAAATACATGTCGCGGGTCATGGGCTATTCCGGATTAAATTTTAGTTAATTAATTAATTAAATAATTGAAAAAAATTTTGTTCAAAAAATTAATCAATCAATCAATCGTTAACCGAAGCCGAAGCCGAGCGATAACGATGACGGCGCGAGACTTACTTTCTTTCCAACCCTTTCAACACCAAAAGAAGTACTTTCTCAATATAAAAAAAAGAGAGTTCACTTTCCCTCCACTTTCTTACCTCCATTTCCCATTCAATTACCATCTTCTTGAAGAGGATAAAGGACATGAAGATTAGCTCAAAATTTGAAGGATTCAGAACAAAGAGCCGGTCACTTGAAATTCATGAATGATCACACAAATGACAGGTTAACAATGAAAGCAGAAAAATGCGTTATCCTATAGTCCTAACTCTTTTCACTAATTAGGCTTCACATAAATTTAACTTAGTCACTCCGTTTCAGTTTATGTGAACCTATTTATTTTTTTGTCCGTTCCAAAAAGAATGGCCCCTTTCTAAATTTGGATGCAATTTAAATTAAACTTCTAATTCTACCCTTAATGAGAAGCATTTATAACCACACAAATACTCTGGACCCCTTTTTGATTTGTTTAGGATCACAAATTACAAAAGTCTTTATTTTTTCTTAAACTCCATGCCCACTCAAACAGGTTCACGTAAATTGAAACGGAGATAGTATCATATACTTCGTTAATAGTCAGAACAAGCAAACTTTCCAACCAGAAGTTTGATCAAGAATGTTATAAGCAGCTTGCAACAAGTCATCTCTTTAAAAGATGAAGCTCAGAATAAATGTAACGAATACCCTTTAATCCATTCATAAACTCATAGTCAGGACAAAATTAGATATATAATGAGGCATTCAACATTCCCACCTAAACATATATTGATATATATTTCCAAGAAAACAAGTGAAACTATAGAAGAAAAGACCAAAAGCTTTGGCCAAAAAATTACGAAGTACTTCTCAGAAAGGAGAAAACACTCTCAACCAGCATCTCAAATAAATTTCGTCTTCCTCTTCTGACGTACTCTTTTTACTTGTTCTTCTAGAAACAACGACATAACAACATATCCAATATATTCTTACAAGTGGAGTCTGGAGAAGGTAGTACGTACGCAGACCTTACCCCTATAATGAAAGTACCTTAAAAATATTTTTTTTTGGGTGTTTTATCTTATTCTTCTTCTTTTTCAGCTTCTTTCTTGAGTTGGGACTAATTAAGGGTTTGTACTTTGTATTAGGGTTTTCTTACCAAGTGTAAGTTTGTTATTATGCATCCAAACTTTGAAAACATGCCTTTTGATACAAATCTCATTACACAACTGCTGCACAACTCCTTCATCTTGTCTCTGAATTCGCCACCCTAATTTCTCAGCCAGTTCCAGCATTTTCTCCTTTTGTTCTTGGTTGAATCTCGTCCTAAATCTCTTCTTTGTCACACTGTTATTAGGGTTGCACAACTCTTCTTGATCCTCCCTATATCCACCACCTGTTGTTTTTGAGAGTGGAAAAAGTAGAAATCAGATGAGTACTAATTTTAAACAGATTACGTACGTTGAGTAGTAATTTTAGAACGACTTGTAGTAATTTTGGGAAGGATTATAGTAGCTTTAAAAGTCGTTCTAAATTTATTACTCTAGAAAGCTTTAAAATAGTCTACATACATATTAATTTTAAGATTTAAATTACATGTAATACTTCTGTCTCAAATTTATGATTTCTAAAAATAAGTATCTCAAATTATTTGTCAATTTATAAGTTCAAGAATTTTTTTTTTCCTATTTTACCCTTAGTAGTAAATGTTCTTGAATACTACAAACACCTCAATTATGGGGTAATATTATAATTTTTAAATACCAAGAAGACATAAATAAGGATAAAATAGTCAAAAATACCTCCTAATTATTATTTTCTCAAAGAGCATGTAAAACAAAAATACGACAGATAGTTTGAGACCGATGGAGTATCTGATAGTGCAATTCTTTTTCCAAACTAACAATGTCAAATTTACTTATTATAACACATTAATTTTTATTTTTATCAGATTATTAATTATGTTTAACTTAGGGATTTACATGTAATTAGTACAACATTTTTTTTACTCCATTAATATATAAAAATTAAACTCTAAATTTTGACCCACTAATTTTGAAACCCCAGAACTACTTTAATTAATTATAACAAACAAAAACACATTACCAGCACCTCCTCCAGAAGTTGACGGCAGGGCTAAAGGTCTCTGCGGTGGCAAGACATGTTGAACGTACCCACACGGTGGGGTTCCATAGTAGGGTAGGTGGTGGAGTTGCGTCTCTTTCCGGTGGAAATTACGGTGGCAGTTGCAGGCGGCGCATTTGAGGGCATCGAGTGTACCATCTTCTCCGGCAGGCATGAACTCGCCGCAGCCGTCTACGGCGTGGCCACCGATACCGACGGCATGGTTCTTGAGACACTCTTTGTACTTCGGTTTCCTCATTTGCAGCGGCGCGTCGAGTATCAATTCGTCGGAATTACTCGGCATTTTGGGCTCATTAGTTGAGTTGGAGATTTCGAGTACTGAGTTATAATTTGGTGATGCTTTAATTTCTTTCTGATCTTCTTGAGTTTCGAACTCCATGGGATTTAGCTACTCCTTTAGCTAAATTCAGTAGCTAATCCAATAATATGTGTCTATAAATATATACTCCTTTTGCCTCGGATAAAATAGTGGGATTAGGATTTAGGAATATGAGTGTCAACTTCTTTAGTACGCTTTAAACAGTATTTGACACAAGGCGAAAAAGTAAACTACTTGAAGTTAAAATTGAACAAAAAAATATATAAAAAAAATCATGACACTTTTAAAAAAGAAAGAAATATTTTTAAAATTTGACTAAAATAAGTTAATTAAATTTACGTATTTATAAATTATCTCATTAGGCGTAAAATGAGATATTTAAAGTTAAATTATTTTTTAAACATAAAAAAGTCATCATCCATTTTGGAAGACTAAAAAAGAAGAAGTATCACGTAAATTGTGTCAAAAAGTGTATTTGAACATAAGTTTTATTTATATTTCGAAATAAAGTCGTTATTTTGCTCGAAATACTCTATTTTAAATATCAAATTCCTCAACTTCAGTATTTACGAATACTGAAATATTACTGACGCCAAACGGCGCCTTTATTAATCTTCGAGTATGAATTTCACCGTGCCTATCTTTTTACAGAATAAATATGGTATACTGTATACTCCCTCCGTCCACTTTTATTTGTCTTATTCTAAAAATAGATTTTCAATTTTACTTGTCCACTTTCGTATATCAAGAGAAAAATAATTTATTTTTTCTGTTTTGCCTTAGCATTAATTACTCATTTCAAATCATTTTTCAAATTCATTAAAAGTATACACCAATTAATATGAGTATCATGGTAAATTATGCACTTTATTTATTATTTCTTAAGGGGTGTGCAAAGTCAATAATGAACAAGTAAAAGTGAACTAAAGGAGTATATTAGTCAAACTCACAATTACGTGCAATATGCATTTTCACTGTCTTCAGTTCTCTTAAATTTTAATGGTTGTTTGTTGAAAATAAAGTTAAAACTTAACTTCCAGTTTAACTATGAACTTCTAGTTTAACTTCTTTAGCTAAATTCACCACCTAAGAATTCAAATAAAGTAATCTCTGAATATTTCAGTTTTATCTTCTAATCGGATCGCCTGGCTTTTTTCAAGCCCTACTTGAATTGCTTTCTTCAAAAAGGACTTCAAAAAAATTCAAATTCTTTTCATCTCCATTTTTCTTTTTGGGTGCAATCTCCATTCCTTTGTGTTCCAGAAGGTTTATTCCTATATTCTTTTTTGCATTTTATGCCCCGGTCTTCCTCCATTTATTTTTACTTGTCATGTTTCGCTTTTCGAGAGTCAAACGTTGATCAACGTTTTAACATGTATTTTTTTACTATATTGATATGAGAAAAATTATAAATTATAATATTTTTTATATAGTTTCTGAATATCAAAATTTTAATTTTAAAATATTAAGAAAATTTAATGCAATTTAGCTTTAAAAATTAATCAAATTAACTATCGAATAGCAAAACGTGACAAGTAAAAATGAACCGATAAATTAACCGTAATAAACAGTACACTCTAAACGGGAAAGAATCAAAATTTTCTCTTTGATGGATTGTCATTGCTTTCATCGCACGGTAAAGTAAGCAGAGAGAGGGGGACCGTAAAAACTTTAATCTGCCTTGCGGATACAAGTTCACTCTCTATCTCTTTATTCTTAAAAAAAAAAAAAAAAAAAAAATTCCAAGC